TAGATGCACTGATTGGTTACTTTTATGATTGGCTAACATCTTTGCATTGAAAATGAATGACACCCTCTAGCCAAAAACTCACCCAACAGCAAAAATCTAGATGGCTACGGGAATAAATCAGCAAAGTAAATCAACAATGCAGTTAAATTAAACAACAGATTCCCTGTCAATTACACTGTATAATTATATTAATTATATACAGGCCTATATTTGTGGTGAGGGCATTTCATAATAGCAATAGACTACCATTGTGAATTATGATATATGAAAAATCTGCCTTCCAGGGACTCCCTCGATTGAAATGCCCCTGCAGATACAAGATGGTGCCCTCTTTGGCAATTGGTGCCCTATGCAGGATACTGCTTTGACTTATGTTTAGACACCTGTTTGGCCCTGCGAGGGTTAAAGTGGGCCAGAGCTGAAGCACTGCCTGTTAAAGCTGCACATTAATGCATCTGTTGAGCACTGGACTGATAGCTTTTACATTTGAACTTTTTCATTTTCTGCCATTGAGTAAAGAAATTCAAATCTACTCATCTTGGCCATGTCAAGTAGTCTGATTAAACAACAGAGAGAGGAGAATTTCAAAAATAAATAAATAAATAAAAAGCATAATGGGTTTATTTGAAACTCGACCACAAATGAGTGTTGATTTGCTGCTTTAATTAATTCTGTCATACCTGTGGACAAGATGACCGACAGAGAGAGAGATGGAGAACAGGAGCTTTCAGAAGAGAAGGATAATAACACATGGAGACGATGTAGCTGGAATAAACACACACACACACACACACCCGTCAGTCAGGGCCTCTTGTATTTGACAGATTGGTCAGACGTTTCCTATTTGGCACTATTGACCTGTAAGCAAATGGCTGGCATTGCATCGAGCTCTGTTAACACTTTGACTTGTTTGTCCTCTTTTACTTAATTAAGTTGAGATAAGTAATGACCTCTTTACGGGAAGCCATGGAGAGGGAACATTTTTTTCCCGTCCTCCATGCTGACTCCTCGTTCATTGACCGATTTCTTCTTTATTAGCTCTCTTTGTTTTTGAGGTTCTCTCTCTCTTTCCCTTTATGTCGGGTTTCAGTTTTGAAGGTGAAGTTTGAACTGCAGTTCCTGGTTAAATTCTGTTTCAGTCTGAATTTGTGTCATTCTAAATCTGTATTCTCTCTCTCTCTCTCTTTTCCTCGTTGAACACAGAAGGGGAAGTTTAGTAGAATATTCACAATAATTTTTCTATACGATGAAAGCATACATTGGCCACAACATGACTGTAGTCCTTCATGCACAATGGTCCAGACGCCTAAAACCTTTCTCTCTAGCTGTCTCAAATCTTATTTGTGCATATTTGCTGGACAAAGGCTAGGATTTTCACTAAATAATGACTTAAATTTGGGTGTTTCACATTTTCTGAAATCTAAAAACACATTTGTCAAAACAGTAACCACAACGTTTTGTGATTTTTGGCTAAACTGTTCAGAAGTTATAAGCAAAAATAGTAATTTTTCATATCTCCTGACCACTAGGTGGCGCTGCGCCGAAACTGTGCTGGTAGCTTCAGGTCATGGCTATTTTAACACACACCACGTTTCGTCTCAATATGCTAATCCGTTGTAGAGATATAGCCTCACATCCATTTTTGCGTGCTCTTTGTCAAATTCGTTCACGTTATTCGAGAACGGTTTAACTAATCAACTTGAATTTCATAACTTTTTTCAGCATGGTCTGAAGCTGATCTGAGCCAATTTTAGTAAACATCAGATAAACGGTCTAGGATGAGTTTGAAAAAGTAGGTTTTTCGAACTATTAAAAATGACAAAAAATCTTGACCCATAGAATTTAAAATTTTGGTGTCTATTTGACGGCCAAGGATTCGGATGAAAAAAGAATTTACCATCTATATTTTACGGTTCAAAGAATATTAGCATAAACATAAGTGCAACTTTGACCTGTTGGTGGCGCTAGAGTGTTTGAGTTAGATACTCCAAACTTGCTGTGGTTAATGTTGAGACTGCCCTCTATCTTTGTGCCAAATTTCATAACTTTCCCTAAAACTAAAATATAGTTATATATATATATAAAAAAAAATATATATATATAAGCTCAAAATAATAATAATAGGAACGCCAACAGATACAATAGGTGCCTACGCACCTTCGGTGCTTGCCACTAATTATGGAAACTCAACTATGGAGACAGTTCAGATTCTGCTGCAAAGCTCTAAAAGACAGTCGTGCCATTATTTAGCTGAAGCTAGTTCAGATCAGTAAAAGTGTGAAGTTATTCGATCAGCTATAGGCAGCTCTACAAAATACAGCAATGTTGTTATTCAGCTCGAGTCAGTTCAATGCTGACTCAATTCAGTTCAATAAGTGCCAGTGTTTCAGGACACGATTCAGCGGTAAAGCAGCTCTACAGAAAACAACAGTGCTTAATTCAGTTCAAGTTTTTGTTCTCATCCGATGGTGTCAGTCAATGCAGTCATATCGATAAATTACTGAAAGTTAAGTGCATTTCAACAGTGGCACATCATGTGACAGAAATGGAGAAAAAAACTTTGTACCGTATTTATATCCTAATGGACGCTATTAGTACAATAACGTGTATATATTAGTATTCAAATGGTACATTTTAGTATCTTTTGCAAGGGTACCACCCCATGTGACAGCTTTCTGAGTGTATAATGTGTTGATTTTTGCTTAAAATAACTGCACATAACATGTCTGACACAGAAGCACACAGAAGTGATGTTCTTGAGCAGTGTTTTGGCTGGAGTTGGTTTATGCTGAATGAGGTCATTATAAGCTGATTCGTAGGATTCATAGCTCAAGGTCAACACTGATCTAGTTTCATCTTCCACCACTGTCCATTAAAACAATATAAAACGCTTCACGACATGCATCTCTCGCGCAAATTGTAAACCAGCCAAACAACCCTTGACACATTTTCAATATTATTACATTAAACCGAGTTTGATTGATAATGTAATATTGGGCTAAGGCAAAACATCAATCATAGCAAGTATATTAATTATTTAATATTGCACTGTAATTCAGGAATCGATGCGAGCATGCTCAGGGAGGAACGAGAGGGATGAAAATCTGTGCTCCCCGCAGACCTGCAGGAAATGGACAGATTAAAAAAAATAGAAAGATCAAGCTAAAAAAATGAAAAGGTGAAGATGTACCAGTTCAATAAAAATGTATATTCATTTGGCGATAATGTCTTCCTGTGTCTGCACTCAGCAGTGCTGGGATTTGGTTTGAAGCCTCTAATTGAATTAGATGCTTTTTTTGTTTTTTAGCACAGACGTGTGCCAAAGAGAGACAGATACAATTAGAAGAATGCAGTAATTTAGCCATAGACTGGGGAAGTCGCTAAATTACCAAAAAAAAATAAAAAATAGAGAGATGGAGGGAGGGTGCAAATATAATAAGTGCTTGTGAAATTGAATAAGTGATTATAAAAAGAAAATGGAATTAGTGTGATGAGGGGAAAGGAAAGATAAGAGAGATGGTTTCTTTCGTGAGGAACGGTTTACCTCTAAGTATTCTTCATTAAAAGATTACAGCTCTCTGTCACCACCGTAACTTATTTTGAGCCAGTGCTCTAACCCCATACTGCCCCATTTGAGTTTTACATTCGGATATTTGTTAGCTTGCACTGGTCTTTCCTTGTTGGGATGGAAATGGTCCCCCAGAAAAGCAATCATTTGGAAGTGAGAGAATTTTAGTAGTGAATGGTTGCTCGGAGAGATGCATGGATGGATGGATGGGTTTGTGGAGGGGAGAGGGGGTAGAGTGGGTTTCTCATGGGCTTTTGTGTCCCTGATTACTGGAGTCATTTCTGAGCTGCCACAGGGTAGTTAACATCAGGTTTCCTAACCACACTTCTTTGTCAAACACAAACACACACACAGTTTGCCACAGTATCATCTTTGTATCTTTTTGTCATTACCTGGTTACATTCCGTAAGTTCCGTAGCACCTATTCTGTTTGCTTTAGTTTAGAGGCCTTTAGTTATTTTCTGTCTATTCACTGTATTTTGTATGTTTACAATACTAAATGTTATTTATTAAAACCAAACATAAATCTTGGCATAAATCATGAGTAGCTTTTCATTTCTCAAACAATCATGTTGGAGGACGTGCATCATCTGAACTGGATGATGACATCACTGAATCATCAGTGAACTGACTTTGTGTGTGTACTGTGTAATGGTGTGTACTGCCGAATGTTCAGGAGTTCATCCCTGGTAAAACGTATTGTGTTTGAAAAACAACAGACAGGAAAAAATAACAAAAACATTAAAACAACTGGAGAGCTCCACACCGAGGCAGCCATACGCGGCGCCATCTTGGATTCCCAAACATACAACATGCCAGAAACATATTCATCACTGTAATAATGATTCAATCCTACAATTTTACATATTTGCTTATTTAAATCCTTGCAATTTTAAATAACTGTGTTCTATTGTAATATATTTAAAAATGTAATTTATTCCTGTGATTCCTTAAAAATAAATAAATAAATCCATATATGATGCTTCTTTTTCAAACATTTTGTCAGGTATTCAAACACATCAGACTCTGTATGAATACTGCAAAGTATTATCAAAGTTCCATACTTTGAACATGTGTATCAATGAATTAATGAGACACAGTCAATGGTTATTTAATGTAAACACACCCACACAGCATCTGTGTGCATCATTATTCCAATGAACTCCAGCTGTCTTTAGCCGGTGGCATTTCTGATTTCCTCTTTAACACTTTTCTCTTGTAATGTGTCATTGTTTTAAAGGGAGTAAACGCTCTTTTGAAATCTCTTGCCCTCATGGAACCCAGTGAGCATGTATGGATAAATACAGTAAATCAATTAAAAATACAGTGGTTATGAGAGGAGAGGAGGACGAATGAGTGGGAGGTCAGGGTGACGAGATGCTTGCTGTCTTTGCTTTATTTACAGTGGAGCAAATATGTTCTTGTGTTGCAGGAAAACCGGGAACATCAAAGCTGGATTAGAACATCTGGTAAGTTCTGCTTCTTTCCCCCTTCAGTGTTTTCTCAATCTTTGATATCTGCATCCAGAATGAATGTTCAACAATTGCCTTTGAATAGCTTGAGCTGTCAGACAGACTCTGAGGTCTCTCTCTCTCTCTCACTCCCACATGATTGCCTGGGTTTTCATAATTGTCACTCTTTCGTTTGTCCCCTTCCGTTTTTTAGTTTTGCTTTTGTCTTTTTTACTAAAAGGTGTGGTGTTAAATAATTTCTTCCCCCTGTAAGGATGAAGTGTGTGTTTGTAAATGTTTTTTGAGTCAGTATTCACACACAGATTCACCAGTGCAGTGTGTGTTTTGAACTGTATCCTCAAGATCAACTGGTTCAGTTTCCAGTTACCTCTGAACAAGTCTGGAGAGTTCACAGTGTCTTCCCTCTTCTACTGTCCTGCCTCCGTCTCTCTGGATGTAGGGCGTGCTGTTGGCCTTTAAAATGAGCCCTAGGGAGTGTTTAAAAATGTAACGTCCAACATTTCCTGGGTTTTCTGCAGCCTTTCTAATCCAGGGTCAAAGTGCCATGCACTGGAGTTAAAGGGCTGCTTTTCTCCTCCTGGGTGTGTCATTGTTTTAAAGGGAGTAAACGCTCTTTTGAAATCTCTTGCCCTCATGGAACCCAGTGAGCATGTATGGATAAATACAGTAAATCAATTAAAAATACAGTGGTTATGAGAGGAGAGGAGGACGAATGAGTGGGAGGTCAGGGTGACGAGATGCTTGCTGTCTTTGCTTTATTTACAGTGGAGCAAATATGTTCTTGTGTTGCAGGAAAACCGGGAACATCAAAGCTGGATTAGAACATCTGGTAAGTTCTGCTTCTTTCCCCCTATCAGTGTTTTCTCAATCTTTGATATCTGCATCCAGAATGAATGTTCAACAATTGCCTTTGAATAGCTTGAGCTGTCAGACAGACTCTGAGGTCTCTCTCTCTCTCACTCCCACATGATTGCCTGGGTTTTCATAATTGTCACTCTTTCGTTTGTCCCCTTCCGTTTTTTAGTTTTGCTTTTGTCTTTTTTACTAAAAGGTGTGGTGTTAAATAATTTCTTCCCCCTGTAAGGATGAAGTGTGTGTTTGTAAATGTTTTTTGAGTCAGTATTCACACACAGATTCACCAGTGCAGTGTGTGTTTTGAACTGTATCCTCAAGATCAACTGGTTCAGTTTCCAGTTACCTCTGAACAAGTCTGGAGAGATCACAGTGTCTTCCCTCTTCTACTGTCCTGCCTCCGTCTCTCTGGATGTAGGGCGTGCTGTTGGCCTTTAAAATGAGCCCTAGGGAGTGTTTAAAAATGTAACGTCTAACATTTCCTGGGTTTTCTGCAGCCTTTCTAATCCAGGGTCAAAGTGCCATGCACTGGAGTTAAAGGGCTGCTTTTCTCCTCCTGGGTGGAACCGAGTTTCCATTTCTGCTTTTTTTCTGCGGGATGAATAATGGAGAGAGGTCACAGTGGGGTCCTGTCTCTCTGAATGTACACTCACCTCCCTGAGCTCCACACCCTGAATATTAAACACAGGCCTGGCCCTTTAAGGGTCACTCGACACACCTGACCTTAATTCTTATCAATTATCATGCTTATATTCTCAAATCAAATCTTTATCACATATTCCCGCTCATTCGTTCTCAAGATCTCTCCTGCTAAGAAACCTTCACATTAGTGGTTATAACAAATCAGAAGTTGAGTAATCTCAAAAAGTTGAGGCAACCAGATTCAGGACTTTGAGTTTCAATTTTTGGGTAAAAATTGTTGTCCACTTAACAGTTCACTGTCAAACTTAAAATTGTATGTTGACTTGCTACATTGAAAATTTCAGTTAGTTCAGTTGAATAATGTGAACCAGGGCCGTAACCACCTTAGACACTGAGGGGGACAAGTCCCCCCCTAATAATTAGAAATGGCTAAATTGTCCCCCAGTATTTGGAATTCTTGCACTGATCTGCTGCACTCCATTATGCAGCGCTCTGTTTATTGTTAGGATGAAACACAGGTTTAAAAGTTTGATTTTCAGCCTGGTCTGCCTCAGTGGGCTAACAGCACTCGTTAATGTCAAAAAGATTGAGATGGCCAATCAAATCAAATTAGGTGGGGTTTATTGTTCACAGAAGCAGAGTGCGCATTCCAGCGTAAAGCAGCAGTTTTAATGTTATAAGAAAGCACGATAAGATGTAAGTAGCGAAACATTTAGTGTTTGACAACTGTTTTACGATAGAAATGTTAAACGACCAATAGTAGTATCCGGTAATGCAAGCTATACTCGACTTTTTGAGTGGGTGATGATGGTGGGGTGAGCCAAGGAAAAGCCCGGAGCAGGGGGAGCCAGATGGTGATCCAGGCCACAGCCAGGACAGCGATCCACAACGGCGTTTGCTGGAGCGAGGAGCCGTGGTGATGTGGATTTCGAGCGAGGGTGGAGGAGTCAGGGCGATGGGCCAAGGAGGAGTGACGGGATCAGCGACCGTAGGCGGAGCAAGGGAATCCACGTGCCGAGGAGGAGCTGGCTCACGGAAGGCCCGAGGTGGATCCATGCCACTGAGAGGAGACAAATGAGGAACAGAGTGGCTGATGGGAGACTGGGTAGATGGACAGGCAGATGTTAGCAAAGGAGGCGGGAGCTCCGGAGAACAGAGGCTGAGCGGAATCAGCGAGCACTCAGGAAATTCAGGAGATTTAGAAGATATAGAGTCTAATTTGGGTGGGATCAGGGAGGACAGGCAGACAACCTCTCCAAAATCAAAACAGTCATTCATTAAAGGGGACATAACACGCACAGTTTCACCCAAACTCATGTTGATCTTGAGTACCTATAGAGTAGTATAGCATCGTTCATAGCTCCAAAGAGTCTTTAGTTTTATCATGTTTATTAAAGAAACAGCACTCGTTAATGTAAAAAAGATTGAGATGGCCAATCAAATCAAATTAGGTGGGGTTTACTGTTCACAGAAGCAGAGTGCGCATTCCAGCGTAAAGCAGCAGTTTTAATGTTATAAGAAAGCACGATAAGATGTAAGTAGCGAAACATTTAGTGTTTGACAACTGTTTTACGATAGAAATGTTAAACGACCAATAGTAGTATCCGGTAATGCAAGCTATACTCGACTTTTTGAGTGGGGGATGACGGTGGGGTGAGCCAAGGAAAAGCCCGGAGCAGGGGGAGCCAGATGGTGATCCAGACCACAGCCAGGACAGCGATCCACAACGGCGTTTGCTGGAGCGAGGAGCCGTGGTGATGTGGATTTCGAGCGAGGGTGGAGGAGTCAGGGCGATGGGCCAAGGAGGAGTGACGGGATCAGCGGCCGTAGGCGGAGCAAGGGAATCCACGTGCCGAGGAGGAGCTGGCTCACGGAAGGCCCGAGGTGGATCCACGCCACTGAGAGGAGACAAATGAGGAACAGAGTGGCTGATGGGAGACTGGGTAGATGGACAGGCAGATGTTAGCAAAGGAGGCGGGAGCTCCGGAGAACAGAGGCTGAGCGGAATCAGCGAGCACTCAGGAAATTCAGGAGATTTAGAAGATATAGAGTCTAATTTGGGTGGGATCAGGGAGGACAGGCAGTCAACCTCTCCAAAATCAAAACAGTCATTCATTAAAGGGGACATAACACGCACAGTTTCACCCAAACTCATGTTGATCTTGAGTACCTATAGAGTAGTATAGCATCGTTCATAGCTCCAAAGAGTCTTTAGTTTTATCATGTTTATTAAAGAAAAATACAACTTTCCGATTCTCTCCGAAAACAGCAGAGCTCCTGGAGGCACGCCGATGGGTGGAGTTAAAGAGTGACGAGCACTTGAGCACCGATTGCCAACAAAACACAGACATTTGATGCCATTTCACTTACCGTCTCCGAAGAATATAGAAGCTTGAAAAAACCTCTCCGAAACTTGTACGAAACCGGAAGGAGTATATTTGACACAGAAATACTTCTACATTCATATCGTTTTTGAAACTTTGGCCATGTTTTTGGCAACTCTTTAACAGTGAAAATAACTCAACATGCATGAAATAGCATTAGACCCCTGCGGGGCTCCTTTCCATACCCTCGTACTCCACTTTGACTCCCCCGACAACGGATGGTGTTGCCAGCTCACACACCTGGTCAGACTTGTGAGGCTCGTGCTCAGGGACGATGTTTCGTTCAGTCGCTCCTTCGTGAGCCCACTTGCAAAACTCCTTTGCTGCCCCTGAAAAACAAACTACATCCACTGTTCACATAACGCTGGGCTCTTTGGTAAGCTGAACAAGGTTATCTTTCCCTTACAGCCAAAGACACACTTCTTTGGAGATATTCTTCTCGAGCGAGTGCCGTTCAGTGCAGCCAAATGAAACACGTTGATGGGCGCGCTCTTGCTCTCACTCTGGTCGATGTGTGTGCACGCGCACGCTCTTCCGGGAGTAATGCGCAAACAAGGAGTTCCACCCTTCATTATGTCACAAAGAGCCAAGCTTGAAAAAACCTCTCCGAAACTTGTACGAAACCGGAAGGAGTATATTTGACACAGAAATACTTCTACATTCATATCGTTTTTGAAACTTTGGCCATGTTTAGCATGATTATCCAACTCTTTAACAGTGAAAATAACTCAACATGCATGAAATAGCATTAGACCCCTGCGGGGCTCCTTTCCATACCCTCGTACTCCACTTTGACTCCCCCGACAACGGATGGTGTTGCCAGCTCACACACCTGGTCAGACTTGTGAGGCTCGTGCTCAGGGACGATGTTTCGTTCAGTCGCTCCTTCGTGAGCTGGCTCACACATCACGGCCGGCTTGGGCTCTCTGTCTGCGGGGGGTTCCGGCTGGGCTCTGGGTTGGGAGTGGGGCTGGTGTCTTCGTTGATCGTTCCGACAGTGAGCGGCGATTTGCACCCACTCCACGAAGTCGATAAAGCTCCCTGAGGACCTTTCCTGGACAACTGCACTCTGGTGGCGGTGTTCAGGCCGGTGTGCAGGAAGGTACAAAGGCAGTTGTC